CCGCCGCCGCCACCACCACCAGCAAGTCACAACACGATCACCATCACTCCCATAATTCCACAATTCAGTATTCTCGCACTACTTGCTACTACTGCTGGCTTCTGCTGCGACTCTGACGTTTACGCGTAGCAGAATCGGTGCTGGTTTTAGTATGAAAACTTAAAATCAGCACTGGCATCAATGTTGTTCGCATTCGCGTCAGTATTCGATGCCAAATATGGTACTGATGATGGTACTTGTATTGGTAGTAGAAGCAGCAACAGACAGCAGCAGGGCCTTCGTCATACCGCAGCCCTATGAATGCGCTCATGTTGTTTTTCATGTTGAATGTGAGATATACGACTGACCACAAAGGCCACTGAAATGCCTAATGGGCTTGCCGAGTAGCGGAAGAGAGCCAAAGTACTCTAGAGTTTTCGCATCAGCATTGACATCTTTCCCAAATGTCTGCGTGACGAAGATGGCCGGGAGGTACATCATGACCTTTGGCCACGCTAAGAACTTCTGCGTTCAGAGTGCCTGTGTTAATTTGGGGACCACGGTTTTTAGTGTTTCTAGTCACTGGGTCCTACAATCTTGTGGATCCTTTAGTGAGGCCTGGCGGCACTCATCCAGGCAGACTCCCATGCATTTTTTCTGAAGGCTTGGAATTTGCTGCAGCATATGATACCCCAAAGGCGGCGGATCCTCTTCTACTTACACACCTATAACCAGACCTCAGAGTGGATTCCCAAATGGGCCCAAAAGACACCCAGTCAAAGATCCCAGCTCTTTTGGCTATGAAAAAATCGATTTCAGTATATGTCCAAGCGCTGTGGAAGGACTCCCCGACATTGGGTGACCGAACGGCACAGCTCTTATGTGAATATCATCCCTGTCTGACATGCAGACTAACCCCAAGCCTGACCCCCGAACCCTATGCTACACTTGCACAGGATCCTGAAGTCCCAACCCTAAACTCTAAACCCAAGCCCTAAACATGTGCACTTCATCCCCAAATCCTAGACCCCGGAGACTTAAAAATCCCACACCGCACATCCGGAACCATTCTGAACATCCCCCTGAGCGCCGATCGATGAGGAGTAGCCAGGCCCAAGCAAGTGAACTCAGCGATGCCACAATGCCTTGAGACACAGAGGTGAGGTCCCAGGTAACTGTCGACGAAATTTGCGGTTTACAGTTTGAGGCTGAGGGCAGGGATGTAGGCTATCTTGTCGGGGTCACCGAAGAATGCTTGAGGAAGGGTATGCCGCAGACAAACAAGGGCTTGAAGAGAACCTTATTCATAATATGTCGTTTCAACATTAGTCGTCCTGTAGTGGTCAGAATATGTTTGAAGCTGCATAGTGCAGGGTTTAGGGTTTAGGGTTTAGGGTTCAGGGTTTATAGTTGGTGGCACGCGCTCAGATTGCCTGGCGATTTCGGCGCGTTGTTGTGTTTTTCATGGTCTGCCGCCTTCTCCGCTGAGCATGGACGAGCATCCGATCACCAGTGCTTACATGCGCAAACGATAATAGCGCGTTCTAAGAGCATCCGATTACCAGTGCTTCCATGCCCAAACCATTCTAATGTTCGTGTTCCAAGTGCATACTGTCACCAGTGCATCCATGCCCAAACCATAAAAACGCTTGTGTTCCGAGTGCATACGGTCGCCAGTGCCTCCATGCCCAAACCATAATAACGTTTGTGTTTTGGGTGCATACGGTCGCTAGTGCATCAATGTCCTAACCATGTGTTCCAGCATCCGATGCCCAAATCATAATAACTTGTTTGTGTTGCGAGTGCGTACGGTCGCCAGTGCATCTGATGCCCAAACTATAATAACGTCTGTGTTCCGAGTGCACACGGTCGCCAGTGCATCCGATGCCCAAACCATCATAACGTTGGTGTTCCAAGTTCATACTGTCACCAGTGCATCCATGCCCAAACCATAATAACGTTTGTGTTCCGAGTGCAATCGGTCGCCAGTGCATCCATGCCCAAACCATCATAACGTTTGTGCTTTGAGTGCATGCGGTCGCCAGCGCATCCATGCCCAACCGAACCACAGTGATCATAATAACATTTGTGTTCCGAGAGTACACGGTCGCTCGTGCATCCATGTCCAAACCAAAATAAAGTTCGTGTTCCGAGTGCATCCGATCACCAGTGCATCCATGCCCAAACCACAATGACGTTTTTGTTCCGAGTGCATCCGATCAGCAGTGCATCCATGCCCAAGCCATAATAACGTTCGTGTTCCCAGAACATACGGTAACCAGTGCATCCATAGTCTTGTTTTATATTGGAGGTCTTGTCAAAAAAGTTTGGGGCCTTTGGAGCCAACGACCATTTATGCTGACGGGGCAAGCTGTTGGAACTCTTGAGTCGGCAGCTCGGAGTGCCAGTCATCGAGGCGTCTCACCAGCGTAAAACCTTCTGTAGAGCGATCCCAAACACTCCAGACTTTCCAAGAAAGCTGGAACTCAGATTGTTGATCAATCTTGGTAGAGCCTCAAGGTCTCTGGTGCCCAAGAACTTGGCGCGCCGTGCAGGCAACAGTGTCAACCCAAAGCTTGTGCAAGCCACATACCTGTGGTCCTGGCGCAAGAACCTAGGCGAGATCAACAAGCCATACTTCCTGCATGCCTTGCCGCAGCTGTGCCGCAAGGGAACCTGATTTGAAGTATACCCTAAAAGAAATGATCTAGGTGTATTTTTGCGACGTCTTGGCGCAGCAGTGCCTTGTGGCAGGCCAAGTTTTGAGTACCTCTCGTTCCACAAAATGCAGATGATCCTGAGAAAACGAATGAATTTTCAAGGTTTTGCACGACCCCATTTTGCGGCTGATATCGCGCTAAAACCTCAGTTTGGTGCACTTTTCAACCCTCTGAAACATGCAGGCTGTATGCGCGCGTAACCTATAGTTAGGGTATGCGATTGGGGCTTTCAGACCTTGCGAATTGAGAAAGGTGAGCTATGCCTGGAACATGGGAGAATGTTGTGGGTTGACGATGAGCTGGGGTCTGTTCTTGTTAAAGATGACTGACTTCTCACAGAAGCCTACTCCCCAAACCCTTTATCATGGCATTCTCAGTCCATGCTTCAAGGCCCTCTTATCCACCCTCAAAGAGACCACTTTTCAGGAACTTCACATGTGCGATGTGCAGCAGTTGAAGTCAACTAATTACAGACAAAATCAGTAAGAGAAGGAATGAAGAAACCCAGCAGCCACCGATAAGAATGATCGAACAAGGACCGGACTCGAAACAGCAGCAGTCATACCAGCAATAATGCTAGACAAGGACGACCATGAATGTTAGGGCCAGTTAGCCAAGGCACCCTCCACAAGGTACCAGAGGCCCTTGAACAGTCTGAGGAGTCGCAGGACCCGCACAAACCGTATCATCCGGGCGATTCTCAGGGCATGCAGAAATCTGAAATGCAAATCACAGCGGCAACAGCATCACCACCACCAACCACCACCACCAACAACAACCACCACAACAACAATAACGACGACGCCGCTGCCACCGGCTTCGGCGGCTTCGGCCATGACGACGACGACCACGACGACCACGATTACGACGACGACGGCGACGACGACAACGGAGACCACCACCACCGCCGCCACCGCCACCTCCACCACCTTCACCACCTCCACCACCCCCACCACCTCCACCGCCTTCACCACTTCCACCAACATCATCAAAACCACAACCACCACCAAGAAAGCTGATAAGAAGAATGGTCGGGTGGTAACCCAACCTGCATCTTGAAGCATGTTCCATGTTGACACCCGTCAGGCCTAAAGACCACTTTCAGATTTTGCGACTGGGACGTGTCCGACAGCAAGAAGGCCAGAACGAAATCCTGGGGACGTGCAGAGACCACAGCTCATGCGCGCATTCACACAGCATCTCACCGCATCCTACTACGGCAGCACAAGCATTGCTCTCATGCGATCGTCAGTACCAGCACACAATTACGTTCATTGCCTGTACAAATCTAGCGCAAGCTGTTTGCTGTTGTTACAAAGCTGTGCGGTGTCCAAGCGTCATCAAAGAGCGAGAAGAGCACTAAGAGCGCATCAAATATGTTCCACGGATCGCACCAGAACGGAAGGCCTGCATGGCACATGTTCGCTGCCCTGCAACTAGACGAAACCTGGAAACCTAGGAAAACTGGCCACGGGAAAGGGAACACTAAACGCCTCCACTACCATGAATGTCCTGGGATTTACAACAAGTTTTTGCACTACCATCAGTTAGGTGGACGCCCCACCCTGTAATAGTGGTATAATAGGAATAGAAGCGGTCTTCACATACTCCTCAATAAGCTTTATAGTCACTATTGCTGGGTGGAGGGTCCGCCTAAACTACCAGGCTTATCATGTTAGCTGTGGTCTAAACTCCTAGTCTAAACTCCTAGTCTTCCCCAGAATAACCCCTGCAATATATATTCCCTTATATAACCTGCTTTTCAGGAGTTTAGATCATAGCTCATGTTACCTATGGCTGCCATCATTGCTTTGCATCCTACAGGGCTACTTTACATGAACAGAAGGCAATGCAGCAACTCTAATCTAGGCTTACTGGTTCTTAGTAGGGAATATGGGAACATATTATGAGGATTACATAGGGTGTATAATATTCCCTCATTCCCTGCTAAGAACCAGTAAGCTAGGGTCCCCACATCTACCGGATGTTTTTTTTAGGACCCTCCAAAAGCTGCCCATGCTTTTATGAAACCATAAGTTTCCGGATATGCCACTCGTCCCTCTACAACTCAACATATCTCTCAACATAAGCCCAAAGTTCAAGAAATCCCCATATCGGCGACATGACACGATTTGCCTAGAAAGATCAAAACATCTGAATCAAGCTCAAAAACCTAAATTTCGAACTTCCAAATCAAAAATGAACTCAAGGATCAAAAATCTAGATGCTCAAATCTAGGCACGATTCGGAGTAATTATCAAAAACAGCTGTACACTGTACATGCCAGAATTGGGAGGTGTTCCGAGGCCCCAAACGTAGTACGCAGATGTACACAGCACGACGCAAAGACTGCACATAGCACAATTCGAAGGTGATTCCAAGTAAAGCAATAAGATGCCGAAGAACCCAAACTGTAACGGACGAACATTCATGAACAACGGAAACCATAATGGTAGTCGCAAGTAGTTGCAGAACATGGATGAAGAAGAGAAAACGCAGCCTTTTGCTAAGCAGACATTGGACTGGGCAGGCATTGTGTTTGCCTTTAGCCAGGCTGGGGATTGGGGGGTGGGGGGGGGGGGGGGNNCCATTTGCAAAACATGCACGCAGATCAGAACATGAATTGAATAATAGTTAAAGACGAAATACGTTAAAACTCGGCGACGCTCCATGCGGGAGCTCGATTGCAAGCCACAACGTAAGCATGCTCCATATCACGGAGTTGTTCTTAACCACGTGTTAAGTGTTGTGATCCTTTCAATTGAACCTTGGCCCACCTAGCAGCAAACTCAACTCCTTTGGTTGTAGCCTAAATACATGGACGGTAGTAGAAATAGGCATACTGTTGACAAAGCCCCGCGTTGATGTTTCAGAGCGATTCTGAACAGACCCAGTGGAAGCACCACAGTCCTATGATGGCCATGTAGCTCAAAACCTGCAAACTTCGAACTGCAATTTCCAGGCCTATGTGAGCCATAATCTAAACCCTAGTCTTCCCCTTCCTAAGTCCTATAATACAAGTCCCCTATATGATCCCCTATAGAATCCCCTTTAAGGAGTTTCGACTATAGCTCATGTGTTATCTGTAGACAGGATTGACCCATCGCCTTCTACAAACCATCGAAGAAGCAGCTCCACAAGGAAAAGCTGGGTGAAACAAACATTGGCAACATACCATCCGATCCTCAGCTCATTGCTTCTGCATGCAACCGCGCATAGTATTCATGGTCCATAGCAGTTCCCATCATCGTAGGAAGTTGTCTTTTGTTGTGAACATTGCAGTAGCAGCAATACAAATGGTGGCTGTACCTCGGCGGCCGCAGGCAGTGGTAGTGGTGGCGTTTACAGTTGCTCGTGTGGCGTTGGCAGTGGCAGCAAGCGGCCGCAGTAGAGCACGAAAATCCCACCGGTAGATAGCAATGGCAGGGGCAAGAGTTGGAGCATCAGACGCTGCAGCAACACCAGTGGCATGAGCTGCGCAGTGGCAGAAGCAACTGCAGCATGCATAGTGCTCATGCCGATCGTACAAATTAAAGCAATTTGCAAAGTAGTGCTGTCATCGAAGCAGCAGTAGGAGCAGCAGCAGGAAAACATGGCGGAAAAAGAGTAGCGATGGCAATGATGACGACAATGACCATCATCGTGAAGCGCATGGTGGTACCAACAATTCGCACTATACATGTACCAGGTGAGACGAAGAATGTAGAGCAACCTGGACAGGACCCGTTCCTTCAGTGTAACAGTAGTGTAACAACATCAGTAAGCTGGACAGCAGAAAAAGAGAAAAAAAAGTGAGCAGGAAAGGTATGGCGAGCAGCCCTTCAACATCACCGGAGCAAGTGATCCAGGACGTCTCCACGCCCATGAACAGAGCGTTGGACAGGATCAGAATGGCGGCGAGCAGGTTAAAGTACCTTGTTCTGCAGAAGTGCTTTCAGTTCCCTCTGCATACGCTGCGAATTCTAAAGATTGCAGCAGCAGATCCCGTCCGTCCTTTGGTAGCCCCTCGCTTACTCTTCGACCTGTGGCCAAGGTGCTTGTGGCGCACAACAGGTAGCAGCCACAACCGTGCCCGAGTCCAACGGCTATGCTGTGCCTGCCAGCGCTCTCGGATTGCCCCAACAGCCAAATGGAGAGATGCCAGGGGATTATTCAGGATGATCCTAGAGATTTACATAGAAATGACTGTTTTTTGGAAAGCCTGACAAGGAGAGTGACGCCCACATGATGTGCATTCACATGGGGACCTGCTGGTTGGGATGACATCTCCAACTCTCTGGTGATGAAGATGGACGGAATCTAGCATTGCTTTGTACTGCCAACATAAGCCGTGGTAAGTGCAGACGCTTTTTAGAGGTCCTAGCTGTTGCAGGATGACTTCCATCCACTTGAGAGATTTGAATCCGGCCGCCTTCGCCTGGCTTGTCACTTGGCAAACTTTGGCTAATCTGTACGGGCTTATATTGGCACAATGGAAAATAAAATGGAAACTACTAAAGTACATCTGACTGTAGCTGGTCGTTCCAGGAATGCGGAGATGTGTATGTATAGCCACATGCTCAGCTGGGCTTGCGCCAGCAGTTGCGGCATTGATTTGTTCTCAGTGCAGTGCTGCTATCAGGGTTTTTTTCTGCAACTATTGCTGCGGTAGGTTGCATTGCAACTCTGTTTGCAAACAGGTATATCTCTTCTCATGCTGATTCTTGAGATTGCATACCATGTTCTTGTTTTCTGCTTCTATCAAGCCCTAAGCCTAAACCCTAAACTAATTTGTTTTCGCCTGCGCCGGCAATTGGGAGATCCGGCGCCGCTGGGACACCTTGTTCTCCATGCGCTCCTGGCACACAACTGAATGTTCCTCAACTTACCCCTACATAACCCCTTTGAGGCCCCCTACAGGCCCCTCACAATGCTCAAAAGTTTTTCGGGATTCCTGACGGCAACCCTACGTTGAGAAACCCTAACTGTCAGCAACGGCAGCGGGGTCGGTGTCCTTAACGTTGGTGTACTGAGCGTGAGTAGAACCAACAGTTTTGTTGGACTGACAGTCTTGAAACCACACAAAATGTTGTTGGAGTAGGAATAACATTAATTGTAAAATTACAACTGCAATAACACCAGGATTATAGTATTCGTAGTAAGCTACTCGGGCAATGATACTAAGAACCAGTAGAAATAGCACCAGTTGCAGCATAAGTATAAGAAGAGGTGGAGTAATTAAGTAGCACGCATAGAATAAATGCTACCAGCAAGTACTTATCGCAGCAGTCATCGTCTTGGTCATCATGGTGGTCGTCGTCGTCGCTTGTGGTCGTCGTCGTGGCCGTCGCGTGGTTGTCGTGACATCGTCGTGATCGTCCTTGCTGTCGTCGTCGTCGTCGTTGTCGTGGTCGTTGTCATGGTCATCGACGCGGTCGTCGACGTGGTCGTCGACGTGGTCGTCGTCGCTGACATGGTTGTCTTCGCGGTCGTTGTCGCGTTCGTCGTTGTGGTTGTCATCGTGGTTGACGAAGCAGACGCCGTCGTGGTCGTTGTCATGGTCGTCGTCGCGGTCATCGCCGTGGCCGTTGTTGGTCGTCGTCGCGGTCGTCGTCGCGGTGATCGTCGACGCGGTTTTTGTCGTGTCATCGTTACGGTCGTCGACGTGATCGTCGACGTGGTCGTCGACGTGGTCGTCGGCGAAGTCGTCGTTTCGGTCGTCAACTCGGACGTCATTGTTGTCGTTGACGTGTTCGTTGCGCGGTCATCGTTACGGTCGTTGTCGTGCTTGTCGCGGTGGTCGCCGTGGACGTCGTCGTCGTCGTGGTCGTCACCGTGATCGTCGGCGTGGTTCTTCGACGCGGTGGTCGTAACGTGGTCGTGAACGTCGTGGTCGCGGTTGTTGCAGTTAGCCGCGTGATCATTCCAACGACCCTGGGGCCCAGGGATCGGCTGCGGGGGTCAATTGGGGGGCTGGTCACTCTGAAGCCTTCTAAGGTCGAGCCTGCAAGGCAAAGCCATTGGGAAGCTTTTTCTTCGCCTTTGCCCTCGCTGCACTTCGTTGTTCCCGTCCCTCCTGGAGACTGCTACCTGAGCAGTGATAGCGTTGGGGCTGTACGGGAGGTTCGATAGATCTTCATAAGGTTGGCTTGAAACTCAATGTTTGAACACCATCCGCTTGAAGGCTTGGTCGGTGAACTCGCTCGGACTGACTACCTGCCTCAGCGTAGGAAGATTGTCTGCTCTAAGCAGAGCTACTACGATGACTGTTCGATCATGGCGACCTAGATCAGCAAGGAAAACAGGACGAACAACCACTACACAACACAAACTGGTTTGCCGTTAGGGAACTTGAATCAAGTTACCACAATAAGGAGCCCGTATCATTTACGAGTTTCCCATTTGATAGTAACTTACTTTAAGTTCCTTAACCAGGCGGGCCTTTCACGTCAAAAGGCGGGGAAAACTTAATCCCCCCAAACCTCCCCGCCAAATAACTTGAACTGTCTCAAAACTTGGGACCCCTACAGCAGTGGCAACTAGATGCACGTTTCTCCTAAAATCTTGGAATCTCCTTGTGTACTGCATTCAAAGCGTCCAAAAGAAGATAAATGTTCTTAGCCAGGGGGCGTCTGCCTCGATTGTGGTTTTTGAGGCTCGTGCTTCTTACTTTTGCAACTTTGCTCTCCCGCACTTCGCTCTCCGGGGACTCCTGACCAAGCAGCTCTTCTGTGCCATCCTGCGGTATACTAAATATACTAATAGTGTAGTCAGAATGGTAGTAATAGTCATCGTAAATAATGACAGGCATACGTGCAGATCAGGTAAACGCGGATGAATCCGCAAAAACTCCATCTCCAGGCAGGAATTCTCCCCTGCTCGTCCTGGCTATGATGGCTTCTTCTGGCTGGAACCGGACTCGATCTCCCTGAGCTCCTCCAGCAAATGCACAAGTGGAGTATGACAGATCCCCAAAGTTGGATCACTGCAAATCTCTGCAAGGTACGCATTACAAGAGAGGACTTGATGCATGGTTGGGTGCGGGTCTCATCAACAGTATGAAAAAGTTCGTGCGCCCTCCATGAGTTCGGGACATCCACAACTAATGATCCCTATAACAATATAGTAGTTTCCATTCTGTTTTCCATTATCCCTATGTCACCTCTTAACAGCTCAGTTGTTGCCTGCAAATGCGAACGCACACAGCGCTCAATCTGCGGTAGACCCTGCCTCGTCCTGCTGCCTACTTACATACATATCTCCATGGTGCGTGGCCGCGCTCCTTCTATGTGTGTTGCAACTCGTGCTCATTTCGGAACACTCCCATATTGACTGAGGCTACACTCTCACAAATCGGCTGGATACTATTGAATGATGTAATCACTGCTTGAACGAAGACCCTGAACGTGGGACCAGAAAGTAATCCGGAAAAACGCCGGATCGCTCCCGCAGCGCCCGAAAAGACAAAGACGATCTCAGCCCTCAATCACCACGCAATAGCAAGAAAACCTTCCACCAAATACCAGCACTCCACTGCTCCCCGAGTGTTTCATACTCTGCACGACACAACTTTAGATTTGGGAATGGTGGGCTTATGTTAAATGAGCCATAGTCTAAACTCCTAGTATCCCCCTTAATAACCCCCATAGTAATTCCCTATACAATACCCTATAATACAGTCCCCCTTAAAGAGTTTAGACTCTAGCTCAAATGAGGCCACCCTTTCAGTGGGTCCAAGCGCAGCTCCTCTCTACCTCGGGAGTAACGGGACCCTAAACCCTAAACCCTAAAACCCTAAACCCTAAAACCCTAAACTCCTCTCAACCTCGGGAGTAACGGGAGTGGCTTGATCTGACCAGCACTCCTGGCAGCGTTTCAGGCAAGCGGCGCTTCTGCTTCGGCTAACATAATCAAAGGGTTTAGGGTTCAGGGTTTTGGGGTTTGGGGTTTAGGGTTTTGGGGTTTAGGGTTTTGGGGTTTGGGGTTTAGGGTTTAGGGTTTAGATGATTCTGGTGGCATTTGTAAGAATGTGGAAGCTCGAGAGGATGTCAACACCATCCCATTCTAGCTCGTGCTACATCTGTAAGAGTTTCAGGGTCCGAAGCGCGACTCTCAGAAACAGTCTAGAGGAATTGGAGTCTGCTGAAAAACGCGAAACTCAATATCCCAGGGGCACTTGCATGTTCAATCGAACTTCAGCACCTTCGCCACTTCTAGAAAAGAGTTGTGGGCTTCCAAGTGATGAGGCCCCCTTTCTAGGAGTCCCTAGAAAACGGAGTATAGTGCATTGGGGTCTTTATTGGGGTCCTGTACGTATGAATTACACCAGTCTAGCCTATGCCTCAAAGCAACTCCTTCGGTGCAACTATGTCATCAAATATTCAGACTCAGAGCCCTTGACATATCAGAAGAGACTCTACTCCAATGGCTTCTAAGATGTCTGAGTGCCACACCTGCACCCTACTTTCTGGCACCCATCACTTACAGGGCAAGTTACTTACTGGGGGTTAGTAGGGAATAAAGGAATATGTACTATAGAGACTATAGAGGGATTGTAAGTGTATTCCCTCATTCCCTACTATCCACCAGTAAAGCTATCATGAGGCACAGAGGGAAATTACAGAGTGCCCTCTTCGACAGCAAGGATGGTAGACGTTCATGTTTTGCTGGCAAGACAAACGGTGCTAATAATGACTGGCAGAAACCACAAGAATGAATCATGACAGTTGAAGTTGTGAGATCGGGGGCAAGGGCAATCTAAAGAGACAGACAATCACTAGCAAAGTTACGTGGTGTCATAGCAAGCCTTGCCAGCGTTCGCACAACCACCCATGAACACTCATCCCCCCAAAAAAGGCCAACTGGCTCACTTTCTTTCAAGGAAAGGCGGTATGGATTAGACATAGAATATTGGTAAGTAGTCAGGCCCCTATATTACTATTACTAATACACTTAATACTATTGCTATTATTACCATTGCTACGATTATTCCTAGTCCTAACTGAGCTGAATGCGGGAGCCCCCAAGCCTACTAATTGAAAGCAAGGGCCCAAATAATCTCATGGTCCCCAGAAGCAGCACCTTTACAAGTCATTCATAGTTTAGGTTGGGCCCCACCCACTGATAGTGACCACAAGAGGCAATGGTAATTATTTTTGGGTCCTTTTATATTCCTAGTATACCACTGTTTGTGGGTGGGGGCCGGACCCAATTCATGGTGCAAATGCCTTGGGAACAGCTGCTGCTCCCTCCAGGGTGGCATCCGCAGAATCTCCTGCTAAGGTTGGCCCTGTCTTGGTTTGCATGCTTAGGGTCTAGGATTTAGGATTTGGGGTTTAGGGTTTAGGTTGCAGGATTTAGGGTTTAGGATTTGGGGTTTAGGGTTTAAGTTGTAGGGTTTAGGGTTTAGAGCTTGCAGTTTCGTTTGATTGGGTGAGTGCCTGGGGACCCCACTTGGTATTCTGCCTAAACAAGTAGCAGTGAGTGGCACGGAGTTATACGGATGGTAAGGATAAGAGGGACAGGGCTTCAGGTTTCCAGAGTCTTCCACCTGCTTACTCAAAGCTCTCAAAAATTATATAGGGATAATGGAGATTAAAATGGAAATTCAATGGAAACTAGGGCATATATGGAATCCAGGTGGCCCTAGACCCTAAATGCTTTAAGCCCTTGCCCTAGCTGGACTTCATGGCTAGTACGTCGTCTCCTCTGTCCTTCCTCGAATACTAGCAGTTCCGCTCCCATACATGCTAGTTGAACGACCATCCCCTGAACTTGCTGGGGATTGGTAGGGAATATGGGAATATGTTGGGGTTATATAAGGATAATGGAAAAGAAAATGGAAACTACTAC